GAAGATGTTCTGCTCAGCCGCCTCCCCCCCACTCCCAAAGAACTGCTACTTTGAGAAACTGACTTCTACATGGATCTTTCCCTGAACACTACAATCTTAATCTCTCTAAGCCATGGGTCAATCATTATTTATCCTTCTTTTCCTCATAAGCTTCACTTGATTCATATCATACACTCATTCATCACGACTATTTTAACACAAAGCCTCTACCTTGAGAGGCTCTTGAGCCTTGTGTTGGAAGAACTTTAGTGTAAGACAAAATTACAATTCAATAATAGATAAGTCGTTATAGTATTATATTTGTCAGCTAAGTAACTTAGCAGGTTTGGCACAAGGTCAGATTAATAGAGCACTTGCCATGCATTTGTAAATAGATCTGCAAGACAAACAAAAGTTGCTTTTATTATGAATCTTTTCTAAGAAGATTAGATAAGGCAAATATGAGATTGGCTTCTTAATCTGATAGTTTAATTCTCACTTGATAATCTTAAGCATAAAAGGCACAGATAATCCCTTTATGAATGAAGCTGGCATAGAAGAATTTCAAAGTAAATTTTAGGCTCCATTGAGAAAAGAATTTAAATTTTTTTCTATTGTGAAGCACCTGCGGGTAGCTTAGTGGTTAAGATATTGAACTTAGTAATGTAGCTTCCTTGTGCTTTTTCTATAAATATTTTCATAGTAATTGTTCTGGTGAACTTTCCTCTTTGGTAGCTTGACTTTAAATGCAGTACTAGATTGGCAGTTAGGTCTCAATTTTACTGCTGAAATTTCTAGATGTAACCATAATTTCTATGATAATAGGGGATTACTGAGTGCAAAACAGTATAAGAAAAAGAAACATTAATGAATGGTAACAATAAAAGAACAGGAATTAAGAAGACATAAAATCTTCAAAAATGTAACTGCAATATTAATTGTCCTTTTCTGTTTCTTAATTCTTGTTCTTTTATTGTGCTCTCTCCTTAATAATGTTTTTTTTTCTTGGATTTTTTCTCACTAAGTAACCCATTTCATTTTCCAAAGGTGCTACACACTGGGATTGAGCTCTCTTTCGTGAGAAATCGACCATAGTGAGATTCGAACCTGGGTCTCAGGGTCAGAATGTGAACGTTCTAACTGCTTGGTCATACAGACATACAGTAACATAAAATACAACCCGTTTTGTGATGTATATGGCAGTGAATGCTGGACAAGCTCCTCACAGATGAAGAAGAGACTTGAAGCAGCAGAAATGTGGTTCTACAGATGGATGCTGACAATACCATGGACCGATCATGTGAGCAATGTTTTAGAGAAAATGGAAACTAGAAGGAAACTCATACTTAACATCAGGAAGAAAGAGTTGAAATTTGTAGCACACATTTTGAGGAAAGAGGACTTGGAAAATTTGATACTCACATGACAGATTGAAGGCAAGAGGGTCAAAGTAAAAGCTACTTAATAATGAGCTTGAATAAATGGATGGCAGAGCAAAAGAGTGTCATGGTAAACCATCCTACTGTAAAATGAACTCTTCCTTCTCTCATAAATACTAACTGCAAGACTTCCTAAGGCAGTTGTTGAATTGCCAAGACGCAGTGTTGACCTGATCATTCAGATGGACACTTCTATCTGCTGACTAATAACACTCTTACTTTGTATATATCTGTTATTTCAATAAACTTGTTCAACCTACTTTCGTCTTCCGTGTCTTTCTTTTCTGGACCCTAAACAGGCCACAACAAAGAGATATTTAAGAGAGATAACAAAACAAACAAAATTTATTAAGAGCTACAAAGGACAGGAATTTGTGGAGAGTTATGATCGCCTACATTATGAAGGGACATGGTACATAGTAGAAGAAGAAGTTAGTGGTGTCATTTAACTTAGTCTCTCCTGAAGAATATCCCATCAAACCCTAAATGGTGGCACACATGAGAATATTAACATCAGTTTCTTTATATTGATTTGTTTTCAAAGCAGGGCAGTTCAGCTATATATAACAATCAAACAGTGGAAGTGTTAATTTTAGATTTGGTTTTGTTTGAAGTCATATTTAATTTTATGTCCGAAAAGAAATAAAATGACTGAATTTTGGTGTTGAATATATAAATTTCATTAGAAACAAAGAAAAGAGTGCCGAACTGCCACATAATATCTCATTTTCCTACATCAGAATAGAGAAAAATGCCTTTCAGAAAATAAGCAAAGTATTAAGAAACAGGAAAATTTTGTTAGAAACAAAGGAAAAAGTGCTGACTGCCGTGTAATATCAATCCTCCTATATGGCAGTAAATGCTGGACAATTTCCTCAAGGTTGAAGAGACAAGTGGAGGTAACAGAAATGTGATCCTACTGAAGGATACTGAGAATACCATGGATGGAGCATGTAAGCAATGAGGAAGTTTTAAGGGGAATAGAAATTAAATGAACATTTATATTTAGAATCAGAAAGAGTCAAAATTTCTGGGATACATAATGAGGATGCAGGGCTTAGAGAATTTGAAACTCATAGGGCACCTCAAAGACAAAAGACAGTGAGAGAAACAGCAGGCCACTTATCTGATGATCTTATGTGAATGGATAGCAGAATTGAGGAGTGGGAGAGATAGTAAAAAGACAAACATTACTCAGAAATGTATTGGATAGGAGGTTGTAGAGAGCCATGATCACCCACATTCTGAAGGGCCACAGTATATAAAAGACTAGGTGTTCAGTGGTTCAGTCAAAACCATTTCATATTAGTGAAAAATTAGCTTTACATTTTAATCCCCTTCAAAGTGCTTCTCTTGTCTCTCACAATCAGTATACATTGTTTTTAAAAACAACAATGTTTTCTTTTGTGATGGGCACTGATCAAATAAAACATTGTATATAATTATCCAAAATGACTCAACTAATAGAGAACAGCAATTCTGGTTTGCCTGCTGAAGCCAATGTACTAATGATGTGGGTGGGGGTATACCAACAACATAAGTATTTATAGTTGGGATAAGAATGATCTTGAACAGAAAATCAACATCCTTTAGCAAGTGTTCTTAGAAAAAGGACTCAAAACAAACCTACTGATTTCCATAGAGCATCCCAAAGAAGTCTATTAATAGAAGGCAACGAGGCCAATGTAATGATGATGAGGCCATGCTCTTCTGGTGCTAGAAGTAATTATAATTGAGATAAGAATGATCTTGAACAGAAAAACAATATCCTTTACCAAATTTCCGAAGAAATAGTAATCAAGATAAACCTTTCCAAAACAGAACCTTTAGAATTAGACTGAAAACGGTGATAGCACCTCACCCTGAATCCATCATAAAAATTCAGTGTGGAGAAGTAAATACTAAATACTGAAAGATTCGATAATGGCACTCTCAAGAAATTTCCATTTAAGTAAGTTAGTGTGGCATTCCTTAGAAATAAGTTCAACCTCAACTTCTATCTATGTATAAGCAATGCCTTTCATAAATTGTGGATTGCATTCATAGATACATTTATTTTTATTATTAATCTTTGCAAGTTTTCACAATATATTGTAAGGAACAATTATGAGAGTTTATTTTATATATACCTACTTAAGAATGATTATTGTTATACATATTTTTGGTTCTAATCCTATCCCATAATAGTTTTGGATGTAGTTGGAATTAATTTGATGGTGTTAAGATAAATTGTTTTGGATCATAGATGTTAAGTAGGTAATATTATTATATGTCTGTTTTTATCAAGTTTATTGTCATTGCTTTTGTTATTAATGTCCTTATTGTTTTTGTAGTTGTAGATTTTGTAAGTCTTTCTCTTGGCATTGTGGATGAAATAATGAAGATATTAGTGTTCTATATATATATATTTCTTCTTCAGTAAATAAATATATATGAACACAATAGAAAATTAAATATTTAACAACAACATTTACTCACTTTCATTTATTAAGCATTGAATTACATCACTTAGCATCCTCCATAGTTTACTTTGACTTTCACAGCTTTAAGAATATTTTTGAACATTCTTAAATTTAAAATTTTGAAAACCTAATGATATTTTGACTTCAGTTTATAAATATATATTGCAAAATAAAATCCTTATATTTACCTAGATACAGTCCATCAGAGGATGAAACACAATGGTAAAAAAAAAAATTTATTTTTGACTTTATATATATATATATATATATATATATATACTTCACATCATCTCAGACCACAGCTCAACAGGCATCAAGTTGGATCTGGTCAAAATCCCAAATAAAATTAAATAAAACTATGCTCACAATGCTGCTTCTAACATGAAAGAAATTTTGTTTACCTTCCATTCTATGTCATTAATAATGATCATTAGGAGCGCGTTGTGCATTTTAACACAATGCTGAAAATTTCAGTTGCAGTTGTAAAAAGAAATCTCAATAGACTGACACGTCTATAAAAACAATATTCTGTCTAGTAGCAAAAGCTGCTGGTGGCGCCAGGGGAGACAGTGCCACCTTAGCCACTGAAACTGTGTTACCTCCCCTGGTTGGCAGCTGACTAGGGCAAGGTATCACACATGCTTTCACATGTTGTATGTAGATAAATATATATATATATATATATATATATATTTTTTTTTTTTTTTTCTCCAAGTAACGGTGAATCTTCAGCATTTCAAACCTTGGGGAGTTTAGCTGATGTGTGCATGTTATGTACACATGAGCTACCATCTTGAACCAGCCAATGGGATATAAAATGCCCATTCATTTTCACAAAAGACAGTTGCTGACTACCTGATGATTGATTGAAAATGCATGAAACTAGTAGTAGTAGTTGGTCATTGTACACTGTAAAGTTATTAAAAAAAAATTACACACACACACACACACACACACACAAGTGGCCCAGCCAAGAAGGGATTACAAAATTTGATTGGATTTTGAGAAGCAGTCATCAATAATTTTTTAGCAATTCTCTCTAATATATGTGTACATGCATTTGTATGCACATATACATGTATAATTATGTATAATAAGGTTATATTATTTTGTTTTGCAGGTATTTGGCCATCTGAAGAAGTTCTTGCATATTATTGTCTGAAACACAGCAATATGTTCAGGTAAGCTTAATTTTTGTTGTTGATTTTTTAAATTTCAATTATTTCCACTTATGATTTTTTGTTGGATTCCACCTGACTCATTGTACCAGAGAAGCATTTTAAGGTGCAGAGGATTGAAAGACATTTTTTTGTGTGTGTGTGAGAAATATAATCATATATTATCTCCCTTGGAACTCACTTGAAAAATTAATCTTGTTGGTATCTTTGATGATTTGAATGATGATAATTCTCTTTTTATAAAATTGATACTTAGACAATAACAATAAAGAACTTCAATAATGAAATAAGAAACACAACAGAAGCAGATAAGAATATAAACTTGAAAAATACATTACTAATATTTATTGAATCCAGTCTGGCACAAGACCACAAGTACAGTGCAAATAATTAAGATCAAACTTTGGGAACAAAAATATGGAGAGTGGGTTGGAAAAAGTGAAAGGCAAAATAAATGGGGATTCTGGAATAACATTGGGTAGGTTAGAAAAAAAACCCATCAAAATTTAAATATCCAAGCAAGCCCATCAATTCTGGATGTAAGAGAAAACCGTCAACCATTGATCTCTGGCCAAGTACATTTGAATAATTCATTATTGACTTGCATTGTAAATGTGTACTGATTTACATATAAAATGTTTAGTTTTTTCTAAGGTCTTTTCCAAACAATTTTCATTCTTTAAGATATGTTGTTTCATTTTTTTTAAATCACTAATGTATGTCGAGGGATTACAAATAGAAATAGTCATCTGAACTGATTAAAGACTGTTTAAGTGAGTCATTTCAAGTTGGAAATAGTCATTTGAGTAGTGATTTTCCAAGCGTAGCTTAGATGTAGCACAAGGCCAAAGGTATGGGGCACCCAGTGAGGATCAAACTCACTACTCAGTTGTAATTGTTCTAGCGAGACAAGCTTACTAACCATTACACTGCCTCGAGGTGCCCAAATAGTCATTTGAGTAAGGAGTCCTGGGTAAGACGATAAACTAGATCCAATAGCAAGAGGTTTTGAGGAGTGTGGAACCACCTCTTAATTACTGGTGTTCCCAGGTCCATCCTGACCTGGAGTGGTAGCACCTGTTAGGATCCCAACATGAGCAAATAGTTAACCCCCAAACTGGGGTTAATAACAGCAATAAATTTTTTGAAGGAAAAATATTACCATTTTTGAAAAAAAAATATATATTACCAGCAATACTTTTTTGAAGGAAAAAATATTACCAGCAATTTCGTAAAATACATCTATTTGATGCTTTGGTACACATCATCAGTGATACTTCTTGCTGAGGTTCATTAGGGGTTTCGGGTCTTTCAACATCATACCCTCTCTCCGCAGTGACCCATCCAATACTGATTGGCTATCACCTTGTGTACCTTCCATTAACTGCAGTTTTTTCCATCTGCACACTACAACTCTCCTTAGCAATTTATAGCCCACTCCCAGATAACTTCCATAAAAAAGGAAGCAAATACAAACACAATTTCTATCTTGTCAGAAACATGGGGGTGTGCTTGGCTTGAAGTGGTAAGTAACAATTTGTTTCTCTCACTGAGACATATACACATACATGTACACATATGAAAACACACTCAAGAATCATGTTCCATTTCCGTTCATGTTAATCATTCACCTGAAGGTAAAAAAAAAAAAATTTGTCCTTCCTTTTTTTCTTGATCCTTACACTGAATGAGTCACACATACATCAGTACCAGCAATACATTTTTGAATAAAATCATTACCAGCAATAAAAATCTTGTCAGCATTAAATAACCCATTGAGATGTTGATATGCCGTAAAACAAAACAGACAAACAAAAAAAGACAAACATCTGGGTAATGGACACACCTCAGGGCTCAAAATTAACATCATCTCATTATTTCAGAGACTAAAAGGGTGTTACTTAAGGCTTCACCTGTTTTTATGTTCACAACTCTTCAGGAGTATGATGGTCCTTCACAGCTATCTCCATCACTATCACCGCCACTATTTTTTTTAATTCTTACCAATAATGGCAAGCTTTTAATAAATGGGGCTTTAAAACACACTCACAAAAAGGAAAGAGCTACTCAGGGTAGAGGGTTACTGTTAAAATAGGTATAAAATCTATATTTTTAAATTTGTATAATACTAGCTTCCAGAATTCTGAGCCTTTCCTTGCATTGGGTGCTGTAAAGTATTTTGGTGTTATCTACTAGTATTTGTCTTATGTTGATAGGGTAGAGTTAAAACTTTCTCTCGCCTATATTTAAGAGATATACTAAATGAAATGTTTAACCTCTAACCTCAATATTTAATTGACAAGATTAACTCCGTCTTGGTTATTGTGATTACAGTGTCTTGCTTATTGTACCCTCCAGGCTTCAAATATCTTTTGTATATTAACATTCTGGGTATTTCAGGCCAAACCCTTTATTCAATCCACAGGGATTGACTGTTCTCATGGTTCTAGTTAATTCTTCAAAGTCAATTTGTTCTTGTAATGCTGTATGTGGATTTTACTACCTTATCCTGGGATTGAACTCATGACTGACAGGTAACTAAATTATTTACAGTTTAATAAATATCCTCATCTTTGTTGTTATAATCACAATGTTTCAGCAGTTGTGACCTTCAGCCTTCTTCAGGTAACCTGATCACAGTTATCTTCAGGGAATTTTGAACTTAATCCTTTATTGCATCTATAGGGGTAGATTGTTCTTGTTCTGATGTCCATGTCTAGGGATATCCCATCTTGTTCTCTTTTTGCTACTGCCCAATTATTGTGTTCCCTGTTTCCGTTGAGGCTGAATCTGTTCTACTTGGCACAGGGACTGAACTCTCAATTGCTATGCCACTAAATTCATGAATGAGGTCTATAATCCTCTAGGCTAGGGAATTTCTGCACCAAGAAGTACAGACTCGGACTTAAAGTTGGTGAAAACAGAATGAGCAATGCTGAAAATAAGAACTAGATGAGATATCTACAGGCATGGATAGTAGAACTAGAACAATCTACCCACCCCAGATTGAATAAAGGGTTCAATTTGAAATTACTTGAAGGCTACACTGATTGACATGAAGAAAGCGCAATGCTCAAAAATTTGTGATAACAACAAAGACAAGGACATTAATCCGATCTTAAATACAGTAAATAATGATAACTCCTCTTGCCAGAAATTCAAGCAGATGTATTTAACCAACACTTATATTCACTTGGCCACTCACATTGCTGTCATTTTGGAGCTTTAAACCTAATGTTTGTTCTTTTCAAATCAAAAGCTTTCATCTGGGGTTCAATTCTATTCTAGGTTTATTGAAAGCTTAGCATGGGCACCAATTCTTTCAATCTCTGTATTCTTTGATGTTGTTCTCCATCTATCAGTCTCACATTATTCCACAGAGATTTGTGATGTCACCTTTTCCCTCTATATAAGATCAACCATCACGGTGAAGTAATGGATAGCGGCTCGGGTTGAGGAATCGGAGAGCCGAGTTCAAATTCCAGTTGAATCCATTACATTCATTTACATGCTAATACAGTTGGGAAAAGTATGAATCCTCTTCTTCTCCCCCCAGCTAAGGGTAAATAGCAGGATAGACCTGCTTCTATAGCCTTGGATTTGCAACTAGTTTACTGCAGAAACAAATGGCAACCTACTGTGGGGGAAAATCTGCCTCGTCAGTCATGTATTGAAAGATACATGATTGCCTAAGCATGTATCACGCATGGCACATAACTGACAGGCTATGGATGCAGCTTTTTGATGTCTTTCAAAACTTACTTTATATTTTCTGCTACAACTGCATGGAATACTATATATACAGTTCTTGGTCATTTTCTTTTCTGATTGAGGTGATGTTCTGGTAAGGTGACCCCAGAAGGTAAAATTGTTTTAGAATACAGTTCTGATGTAATATAGACTGCATATTCTCTGAACTGATTCTGACAGAAAGAAATTGTTAGCATTTGTATTTTTCCTAGAGAGATACCTTTACACATTTTTTTAGCTTTGTTCCAAAAAAAAGTGCTTGTCAATCTAGGACACTCTAAGTCATTGGATACTATTTACACATAAAGAGGTTTTGTGTTTCACAAGTGTTATGCTTCAGTGATTACAAATTGAATTACTAAGAGACAAAGCTATTCCAGTTCGACCACCAGCATCAAGGGAAATTCAATACTGCACACATGCCTGATGAGGTGTAAACTCCCCACTGCACCTGCTAAAAAAATCACTTTCACTGTCTTTACCTGCTCCAGCCTGTGATATTTATAGATTAGCTTTAATCAACTTGAAGACAACTTTATCTAATTAACCTTATACAGTATTTTGGATGACATTTTGTGGATTGTTTTCATTACATATTTCTCTCCTTGTTCTCTTTCTTATTTGTTAAATCTCAGTCTATTTTGCCTAATTCTCTTCATACGCACTTGTTTAATGAAAGTCAAACCTTCCAACTCAAATATATGGATGAGTAGTTAAATGGCTAGAGAATTCTGACCATAGAATTTGGGCTTGAATCTCAACATAGTAGATAAGTGGAAGGAGTGACTTCTGGATAATGTCATCCCAGAGAGACAATCCCAAAATTGGGAAGTGCCTGAAAACTATATCACAAGTTGACACAAGACTTGTGAGTGAAATTGGGTAAATAAAACATTTAAAAGCCCTTGATGGTCATGCTTGTACATTGTCACAAATCCTCAATTAATGGACAGATAGAAGCTCTTTAGTCTTGGTTGGCAACCTGTTTAGAGATGCCATCTCGATTTAAAAAAAAACAAACAGAAAAATACCCATTCCCCAGCAGCCTGGTCATTCACACGGATACAGCAGCCTGAAAAGAAAATACAATGCCTGAAAGCAACGAATGAAGTCATGAGTTTGAAGTCTGTGTCAGGCAGAAATAGTGCAGCATTTTTTTCCAAATCAAAAACCTCTTCTCTCTCCTTCATCTTCTGGATGAAGCTGGGGTCAAAATTATTAAACCTGTGTTCTCAGTCATTTAAAGTTTCTAT